CGGTAGACCTGAAGTTGTCGAGATATCAACTTGACATCTTAGGAGGGAGGGGAGAAACACTGAAAGAAAAAAAAAAAAAACAACACCGGCTGCCCCCAGGAGGGACAACGATTCTCTGAAGATCAGGCGGTCCCGAACTTCCCCCAGCACCCTGAACAACGAGGTAAACTGTGGTGTGGCGGGCCGCTCCCTCTATCCCCGCTAGCTGGATGTCAGCGCCCACTGCAAGCCCAGGGCTCAGCTGGCAGGGCCCCGAATGCAGCCCCCACCCGGGGCAGGGCTGAGTGGCAGAGCGTACCAGCCGCGCCCCCTTCCTGGCCGCGCTCCTGCCCGGGCCCCTGGAGCTTGCCTCTCCCCCTCTGATGTAAGCTGATATTTTAATTCTCTTACAAGGAATGGTGTTTAGAGAAATGACTTAACCGGATTACTCATCGTCTCTAATGACTTGGCCGGACTCCGGCGCTATTCCTAGACGTGACGCTTGAGGCTTTGATTCTTTCTCTCTTTCCTTTTGCTCCTTTTTTTTTTTTTAAATACCAAGAAATTACAGCCCTGCCTACACAGAGGCCCAGCCCCTACACGCCCCCTTTGCACGGCATCCTGGGAGATGGAGTTCTCTCCTGGCCCCAGTCACGCCCCCATCGCCTAGGGACCCCCATCCCCAGCCCAACTCCTTGCCCCTCTCCTGCCTCATCTTGGTGGGAGATGGGCAGGGTCTGGCTGGGCAGAGGTCATTTAACCTCTACATGCCTTGCTTTACTCTTCTGTCACATGGAAGGGTCACCTGACAGAACAGAGAGTGGAAGGGTCAGTTGAGACCTTATTTTAAGTAAAAGTGTCACACAGACCCAGTGGTTTTAAGAGATTCCTTGTCCAGTGCATTTTGTGCTGAGCTCCAGTCAAGACTCCCACAGAGCTTTAGTTACCCTGACCCTGGGACTTACCAGTGCCTGGCCCTCACCCAGCCCAAATTTACTCCTTCCTATCTGTGGAGGAGTCTGCGGGCTTGTCCAGCACTTACTCTCTGGTTCTCTGTTGTAATGAAGGGATAGATACAGATAGAGCGCCCACTTCAGAGGGCTAGAGCGACATGGAATGAAATACTCCATGCAAGATGGTGCAGTGTGTGTTAAGGTCAGCCCTGGTCCAAGGCTTTTTCACCCCTTTCAGCACAAGACCTTGGCTGAGTAGCTGGAGCAGCGACTGATTCTTAGCAGCCTGTGAAGTTGGCAAGGGCCACATCTTCTGCTCCACAAGGATATCGACTTCGTTCTGGCCGTGGCTACATCCCATGTCTAGCTCAGTGCTGGCACGTAGTAGGACCACACAACACATATTGGATGAGTGGATGACCGAAAAAGTGGAGAGTTATCCTGCTTTCCAGAGGAGGAGGCTGAGGCCCTGAGAGGTTCTGTGACTTGTCCAAGGCCACACAGCTGGGCTGTGTCATGAGTGGGGATGAAAACCCCAGTTTTCTCTCCTTGCCCTCCGTTCCCCTCCCCCAGGGGAATTCAGCTTCCACCATTCAGGCTCAGGAAGTTCAGAACCATGGGTTTCTACCCTGCTGGGACACAGTGGGGAGATGTGGGGTGGAGAGGTGAACCCAGCCCTGGCCCAACACGGGAAGTCTTTGCAGATTGGCCGGAGGTTGCAGGGAACCTAGAGCCAGGTGCAGATGCAGTTTGCAGCGTGGACAAAGCTCGGGAAGCTGGTTTACACGCACCCTGGGGTACAGTGGCCAAAGCTCTTTCAGGCAGGAAGTTGGCCCTTGGTGATCTGGGACTCACAACCACCTCCCCACTGCCTCAGCCCCAGCAGTTCCCCAAAGGCCAAAAGCTATTCTTGTCTTTTTCTAAAAGAGGCATTTGAAACCATGAGCCAATTTTTTCCATTCCTGAGCTTGGGTATCGTCTATTTCGGGCATTTGTTGTTTTCCATGAGTTGCAAATGCTGCTGTGAAGCTGGCCTTTCCTGGACAGCTAGCACGGGGAACGAGGAGTTAGGCAAGCAGGGTGGGGCTGCGTTAAAAATACTTCCCTGCTTCGTTTCTCCTTTGAAAACAAAGCCCTAGGGGCCTTTGGCAACTGCTGAGCCTGGGAACTGAGCTTCCCAGGATAGAAGACTGGCTATGCATTCTGTTTCCTGAGGGCACTGGAGGGGTTTGTAGGTCCCAGACGACACAAAAGCACTGATTTTACTGTGTGACTCTGGGCAGTTCGCTTAACCTCTCTGGGCCTGGTGGCCTCCTTTCTAAAATGAGACCAGGTGGACAGATGATCTTGAATGGTCCCTACGGCTCTGAGAGCTCCAGGATGAGAACCACCCCCGGGGCCAGATTTTCTTCCTAGAAATGGGCTCACAAGAGGTGCTAGGACATGGAAGTGGGAGTTAGAAAGCAGCTTTTAGCTCAGTCTGGGAACACTTTGTGAGCTCTTTAGCCCTGAAACTGTTCTAAGGGGGTCTATAATGTTCTCAGCAGGATTCGTGTAATTCCAAAAAGATTAAACGCTATCAAGAGGAGATTAAATACACTGTGCTGGGCACACAGCCCAGCAGTTCCCAAAGAAGCAGATCTGTGTTCTAACAAGGAAAGTCTGTAAGCTCTAGCGGTAATCGAAAAAGCAAGTTTCAGAATGCAGCAATGAGAATTGTATTGTTTCCTTAAACATACACATAAAACAAAGCTATATATTTTTCTATACCTGGATACACACATATTTTTGAAAATACATAGGGAAAGTTCTGGAAGACTTCACACAATCTGATGGGTCCTTAACTCTGGGGCAGGGAGGGAACTGGATTTGGGGTAGCATCAGAGAGGGCCGATCTACTTGCATGTTTTTACAGGAAGAATGTGTTTATTTATTAAGTGATGGTTTGTTTTTCTTATTCTTGAGACACACAAAGAGACATCAGGACACTGAGGGGCTAGGTGACCCCTCTGTAGGCACAGAGGCGTCCTGGCCTGGGACCTTGTGGTTGAAGAGTGCAGGAGGAGGGTGGCTCTGGGCCGAAGTGGAGGTGTGTGAGATGGAGGCTTGAGCAATGGAAGTGTTTACGCTTTTAGCCAGACGAATGAAGATGTCTGTTTTCCGCAGGATTTACGGGCCATTGTAAATTACTTTCTATTGCAAACAGTTGCCTCAGGAAGCAATTAAATTTAGATCCTATCGTTCCCAGGCTGGCACAGGCAGGTGTTGACTTGCTGAGGCTTTGCACAACAGCCCTTGTCTGTCAGAATGTGCCCAGCTGCCCGGATGGCAGAATAATTCTAACTCTTGGTGGGATGAGTTGCTGTCTTATAAGATAGTGAGTTCCTTGTCAGTAGGGGTATCCAACCCACAAGTGAGGGGTTGGCCTAGATTGTGACCCCGGCGGCTGCATCCAGAGCTCCATTCCCAACTTTGGGCCTAGTGCCTGCCAATGAATGCTTCCAGAATGGACAAAGGTGCTTCCTGATGGCATCCCATCATAGTGTCTTCCACCACAGCCTTAGCTCTTCTGGAGGGGAAAGTGGCTTGTGAACTTGGAAGTGCGATGCATTTTTATAATGACCGTTACGATTGTTCTGGGTGTCTGTTACCGGCTCTACAGGTGCTGGCTCTTACAAGCCAACCCATTACGAGGTAGACAGGGGATTTATCCTGCATGAGCCCACAGTATCGTCTGCTCTACACTGAGCCTGCAGACATCGTCCATCCCAGGGCCAAAGAGTAAGGGCCAGGGTTTCAGGTTCACCAAACTGCAGCCCTGGTCCATTCTTTTAGTGTGAGGAGGGGCACCAGTACGACAAGTGGTCAGTAATGGGTGCAAAGTGGGTGGGGGGGATGCCTGGCTATGAGGGCTTCTCTTCCTGGGTCTAGCTCTGACTCCAACACCTACCAGCTGTGTTACTTGAGCTAATCTCTCAGACCTCAGTTTTACCCTACAAAATAAGGACAATGATGGTGTGAAGTGCATACAGCTATTATGAGTATTAAAATTCATCAACGAAGACTTCTGTGTAGCTTCTATGTGCTAGGAACAGTGTTCCCGTCCTAGGTAACCACCTGCTGAGACGGAAACCCTGAGCCTCCGTTTCTTCCTCTTTGGCCTGCACAGGTCCAAGTTGCTGCTATGGCTGGCTGGGCACCACCTCCTGCCTCCATTCACCCTAGGCCTCATTCCCACCTCCCACAGTCTGAACTCATGCCCCCTCTTAGGACTTCTCAGCTTGTAGCTGCCACACTCTGCATTATGTATGTGGGCATTGACTATTACTGGCAGGCCTGGCCACAGAACCTAGGCCAAGGATTTCCTAGTTCGGTCCTTGTCGAGCTCACACTAACCACCTCTCCTTTTTTTTTTTTCTTTTTTTTTTGAGGCAGGGTCTCCGTCTGTTGCCCAGGATAGAGTACAGTGGTGTGATTGCAACACACTACAGCTTCGACCTTCTGGGCTCAAGTGATCCTCCCGCCGCCTCCTCCCAAAGCACAGGGATTCCTCACCTGGCCTTCTTTGTTGGACTGGGTGGGGAATGGGAAATGCACAGGGCCACTTTCAAATCAAAGTCAGAAGCACTTTGCTCGCTCCACAGAGCCCTCAGTGCTCTGCTGAAAGCAAGGAGGATTTTTCCAAGGCTCTAGTTTTGCCTCCAGGGAAACTGAGGCACAAGGTATCAATGATTCCTGGGGGTCCTGCCTCCGCTCCTCTAGGTGAGTAGCCTTTTCCATGGGCCCCACTCTGAAAGCCGAGAGGCGAGGGGCACGCACTACAATTCCCAGAGGTCCCCGGGCGCGGGAACGGCTCCCGCCCCACGCCTCCCCCGCACGACGGAGCCGGGCCCACCAATGGAAGCCCAGAGTGGGGCGAGCAGGGGCGGGACGGGGCGGGGCTGCGGGGAGGCGGCTGGCGGGCGGCGCCGCGAGCCAGTAGCTCAGAGAGCGCGGGGCCGGACAGCCGCGCGCTGAGGGTCTCGGGGCGAGCGCCGCGGGACGTCGCCGGGCCATGGGTAAGCGGCTCCACGGCGCGGCCCGGGCCAGGGCTCGGCGGCCCTGCAGGGAGGGCCCAGGTGCCGGCGCCTGGTCCCCTCCAGCCCTCGTGGCGGTCGGGGCGCTGTGCGGGGCGGAGAGGGGTCCGCGGTGGGCTGCGGGGCGCGGGCTGGAGGGAGCGAGCCCGGCCCGCGGCTTCAGCGCTCCGGGCCGGCGCGGAAGGGGTGAGGCGGGGCGTCCGCGCGCGTTTCGAGAAAAGGAAAGACAAAAAGTTCTGGCGGCCAGGGGCTTCCCGGGCGTTTATCTCGAAACTCTCTTCGCCGTCTCTTGCCTGAAATGTGCCGAGCCCGGCACGGCGCTGTCGTCCCACTTCCTGCTGCGGTTTCCCCCGCGAGCCGGGCTCAGCCCCTGTGTTGTGACAGCTGCCTGCGGCCGCCCTCCGCCCCTGATACCCCGCGGGTTTCCGAACCGCGGCGCCGCCGGGCGGGCGCAGACTCCGGGTCCGGGGCGCGCGGCCCTTCCCTCTGCGGCGCCGTTTCCTGCAGGGGCCGCGCGGGTGCGAAGAACTTGCTCAATGCGCTGTGAAGGCTCCACGGTTCCTCTTTCGGCCGCGGGCTGCGCCGATGGTCCGGGGCGCCCGGCTTCGCGCCCCTGCCCCTTCCTTCTCTTCCCTTCTCTCTTTCCCTCTCCCGTCTCTCCGCCCACCCGCCGCCGCCCCGCAGGAGAGGGGTCGCTTCCCTGGTTCCTCTCCTGTCCCTTGTGTGTCCCCTTTTCCTTCGGTCTGCAGAAGGGACGGGGCGGCGGGTGGGGAGCGCCGGGGGAAGAGGACAAGAGCGCGGGCAGCGATGCCTGCCTTCGTGCCCAGCCGGAGCTGCGGGGCAACCCGGGCCCGCGCTCAGTTCCTCCGCGGTGTGTCGGGGTCGCCCGGGCTGGGGTCGCGTCATCCTCCGCCCAGCGCCAGCGTGGTGGGGCTTGCGCGATGCAGGACCCCCGAGGGCACGGGGGTCCCGAGGCGCTGCGGGTCCAGTGTCCCTTTGTTTGCGGAGTCTTGGGTCAGTAAAGAGGGCTCCACGGGCCCCAGGGGAGGACAACAGGTGCCTCTTGCGCCACCCGGGCCCCACTGGTGGGAACCCACACGCACGGTGGCGTTTCTGCCTACAGGCAACGCTAGGGCACAGGAGGGGTGGGAGATGGGGCTCGAGGACTTCACCCCACGGCAGAGCTCAGAGCCCAATCCAGGCCGTAGGGACCCGCCTGGGGCCTAGAACTTGGTGTGGCAGAGGTAGAAAAGGCCTCCGACAATCTGCCTCTACAGTTAGTGGACGTCACCTGGCACCTCTGAGCCTCTGTCCCGTAGGTGGAATGGGGACACACGAAGCCATCTGAGGAGCTCTCACTGTCACCACCAAATGTGGTCCAGACTCAGTGGGGAGGGACAGCCCCATCCTGGAATTGGGGCTTTTAGGACATCCCAGAGCCTGGTAAGAGGGACAGGGAGAGTGGGGCTTGGAAGTTGATAGCCTGACATTCAGTGTCCCCCGCACCTCCTTCCCCTTCTGTACCCTCTGGTGGCTCCTGTGGCCTCAGCTGCTCCCAGACCCTGTCTCTCTCGCCCTCCCCCAAGCTGAGGTACTGAGGCCGGGTTGTGGCTTGAGCTGCACCTGTGTCCCGGTAGGGAGTGGGGGTCCCAGGCCCATCGCGTTGCTCCTCATTGCTGGCTCCAGCTCAGCCCCTGGCAGGCGCCCCGTCCCCAGACTCCTGGACCAAGCTCCGCGGAGACTCGGCCTGGCCGCCGCTCTCGGGCTGCCAAGTGGACCGGCCGTTTCGCCGCTTCAAAGGCTGTCTTTGTTTCGCTCCAGCTCAAGCTCAGAGAAACTTAAGCCAACAACCCCAGCCGAGGGGGCGGGGCGGCGTCTGCTGGTTGTTATTGAGGCTGCTGTTGCCATTATTGTGGTAATTGACGCACTGTTCCCAGTCGGTGACTTTTCATGAAAGGAAGTGTCACTTCCTTCCCATCACACCCGGGGTGAATGGGGCGGGCAGCAGAAAGATGGGGAGGGAGGGAGAGAAGGAAAGGGGTGTGCGCCTCCAGCAGACCCTAGGCTTGAGAGCTGTGTGACCGTGTACTAGTCACTGCCCCTCTCTGGGCAACAGGGGTGTGTAAGTCCTGCACCCGGGAGGCTGATGTTTCCGGAGCAGCTGCTGGGCAGCGAGGTGCCTTGGGGAGGGAGCAGGACAAGCAGACCTCCGGTCTTCTCACTGAGCCTGGCTGTGGTTTGTGGGGGAAGCCTCCTTTCTCTTCTCGCTGTGTTCCTTCCGCTGAGAACATTGGGCACACGGAGTCTAGCACGCCCATCTTGTGGATGGGAAAGGGAGATACAGAAGCAGTGACCAACCTGGTAAGAGGTGCAGCCATGCGGTGCTAGAGCCCCCTGCCCCATCTGTCCTCTTGGCCCACTCTCATCTCCTTCCCGCTTGACGTCTGCCAGGGCAGGGGGCCCGCTGACTTCCCCACATCCACCCACTGCCCCGCCCCATAGCTACCTTCTAGTCCTAGCTCAGCCCCATGAGACATCTTAAGTTTGTCCTCAGTGACTCTCGACCACCGCCCCACTGCCTTCACCTTCCTGCCTTTGCGTACCCCAACTTCAGCAGGTTGGCTGGGCCCTGGCCAGAGCTGGCCCCCTACTCCCTCAGGTAATGGAGCAGTTTTTTTAAAAGGAATCTCAGTAGGTATCAACAGGTCTTTCCTCCTTCCTCACGATTATGGAGATAACACCCCTTATTCAAAGATGGTGGGTCCTCTGGGCCCTCCCCCACCCAGGCCAGGGAAGTTGATTCACAGGGTGTGCGGGCTGTGCCCCCCCACGCCCCCGCTGCCCAGCGCTCTGACCAGCCCCCTCCCATCCCTGAGCCTGGATGCCTTACCAGGCAACACAGACCTGCCCTTGCTAGCAGAGTGACCGCAGCGATATGCTGGGAAACTGCACATCTCCTTGGGGAAAGGGGATGAGTTTGCACCCTCTGAGCACAGATAAGGAACTTGAGGTCTCCCTGCTCCCATTACAAAGAAAAAAATCTGTAGCTGTCAGGGATCAGCGTCTCTCAGGAGTCAGACTACCCTGGTTCTGAATCCCAGCTCTGCCATGGATAAGCTGCGTGGCCCCAGGCAAGTCACTGAACCTACGGAAGCAGATCTACGGAAGTAGATCTACGGAAGCATCCTCTACTGGAGGGAGTGACAGATTAACCTCCTCAGTGCTGGAGTGTTAGGATCTGGGAGTTGAACTTGACTCAGACAGGCCATGGAGGTAGAAAGAAGTGAGACTCATAGCACAGGAAGAGCCTCAGGCAATCCTCCCGCCCAGCACCCTGCTGCACCCTCTCTCTGCCTAGTGAGGGACAGGGTCACTAGGAGCCCAGGCTCGTCTTCTGGTGCAGCCACCTAGCCTGCCCTGGCCCTCTTCCCAGCAGTGAAATGGGGAAATCGCAGGGGCCTTGTGGAGTGAACTGCCGTTGTCAGGGTTTTTCTAACACCATTTTCTAGCTGCACAAAACCCAACGAACAAACTAGGAACAAACCTCCCCAAGAAAGCACAGGGGCTGTTTAAGAAGGAACTTCTGAGGACTGCAGAGGGAAACCTGAATTATGGAGACATATGATCCTGAAAAGAAAGATGCAGTACTGTAGAGGTATTATTTTTCCTCAAAGTAGTTTCTAAACTTAAATGCAATCAAAGCCCCAGTAGTGGGAGTTTTTGTTTGTTTGTTTGCTTGTTTTGGAGACAGAGTCTCTGTCACCCAGGCTGGAGTGTAGTGGCCTGATCTTAGCTCACTGCAACTTCCACCTCCTAGGTTCAAGTGATTCTCCTGCCTCAGCCTCCCGAGTAGCTGGGATTATTGGTGTGTGCCATCATGCCCAGCTAATTTTTGTATTTTTAGTAGAGATGAGGTTTTACCATGTTGGCCAGGATGGTCTCGATTTCTTAACCTCGTGATCTGCCCGCCTCGGCCTCCCAAATGTGTTTTTTTTTTTATTTTTTATTTTATTTTTTTGTTTTGTTTTAAGAGAATGTAACAGAATTATCCCAAAGTTCAGATGGAATATTTTAAAAAGACAGGTAATATTGGGCAACTTGCCCTCTGGATAGTAAGTTGTTTTATAAAGCTACAAAAAATTAAAACAGTGTGCACAGGTCCTAGCATTCCACCGTGGATGAAACAGAATAGAAAGTCCAGAAATAGTCCCACATGTGTTCCTTATAAGCATTGACATTGTGGGGAAAGTAGCTTTTTACACCACTGGGGGAGGAGGCCACTCACTGGGACCCCCTGACCAATGGGGAGAAAATATGGCTAGGATCCCTATTTCATCCTGTATACAGGAATAGATTCCAGATGTGTCATCACTGCTTGCTGGATGGAGAAAGGTGAGGTCTGGGTGACATTCTTATGGAGAGCACTTTTCTTTTTTGCATTTGATCCCCCACTTCTGCTACAAATAAAACACGCAAGGCATTGTGCCAGGAAGGCGTCTGCACGCAAGGCTGGGAACAAGGCAGCAGCGCAGTGGCTCGCCGCAGCAGCAGCTCTCGGGCAAGTGGGTTTCTCCTGCCTCTGTGGGCTGAGTGGGGCTGGGAGACGGGGCCTCCAGCTCCATAAGCCTTTTCCCTCCTCCGCGGAGCCCGGAGAGGGCCCACCCCACTGCGCAGGTCCTGCCTGCCTGGCTCTCTACCTCCCGGCACAGGACCTGTGTGGCCCAACATCTATGGCGGTGGGTTTCAAGCTTTTTTTTTTTTATAGCATTTATTACATTTTTTACAAATGTAACCCTGATCTGTGAATGATCAGGGAAAGGGAGAGATTAGGGCAGCGAGGGACAAGACAGAGGGCACCCTGAAGACCAAGGGGGAGAGGACTCTCCCTTCTCGTTCATCTAATGCTGCAGAAGTGGGGGTCCAAAGGCCTGCAACCCAGAGGGCCCTGGCAGGACAGAGCCCCCACGCTGAGAAGGGAGACCGAGTTCATTTGGGGACTTGGCTGGACACAGAGATGGAATGTTTCCCTTTGTGGCTTAAGGCGACAGCTCCAATCCCTTTCCCATCTGGGGTTAAACAGCTCAAACTGGTGACCTCCTTTCCAGGTAACACCAGTGCCCGACTCCAGGAGATTTTCCCCCAGTGTGGTCCAGGCAAAGCTCACAAACTCTGAACCATGCAGAAGGGACTAGGGCCCCTCTCGCCCTGTGGCTCGCAGCCTGGCTGCCCACTGGGATGCCCTGGGGAGCTTCAACCCTGCTGCTCCACCTTGGACCTTAAATCAGACTCTGAGGGTGGGGCGGGAGCACCAGCGTCTTTACAGATGCTCCTCCAGGTGGTTCTGATGGGCCCTGTCTAACCGCCGTATTTTCTGAAGCCCAAGGGGCAGCGACTTGCCAGGGTGACATAGCAAGTCAGTGACTGAGAAGCCCGAGTCATACCAAGGAAGACGTGGAGAGGGTCCGTAGATGCTGAGGCTCGGGGGCTGCAGGAATGAGGGGAGGGGATGTGTGAGCCGAGGGCAGCAGGCAGCGGGAGAAGAGCCGGTGGAGGAGGTGCTCCCGGACCTGGAAGGTTTTGGGAATTCACAGGTAGCTAGCAAAGAACTCAAGGATCTTCCTCTCCCATTTCACAGCAGGGAAGACTGAGGCACAGATTCACAGAGGACTTGGCTGGAACGGCATCAGTCTGGTGGGTCACTTGTTAGTACGCAGGATTTCTGGAGACAGTTGTGTCAGAAGCTAGCCCAAGAGGGTGGCCCTGGTCTCTTGCTCTTTGACAAGCCTTAGGATTGGTTTCTCTCCAGGCTTACTTGGACTCTTCATGAAGACTTTGCAAATGTTGGTAACCACAGCAGCCACTGGACCAGAATCAGACCTTGATTTGAATCCTGGTCCGCCAGGGAGTCAAGCGACTTAACCATTCTGGCTTCAGATTCTCCCTCTTTTATTTTATTTTATTTTTATTTTTTTTGAGACGGAGTCTCGCTCTGTTGCCCAGGCTGGAGTGCAGTGGCCGGATCTCAGCTCACTGCAAGCTCCGCCTCCCGGGTTCCCGCCATTCTCCTGCCTCAGCCTCCCGAGTAGCTGGGACTACAGGCGCCCGCCACCTCGCCCGGCTAGTTTTTTGTATTTTTTTTAGTAGAGACGGGGTTTCACCGGGTTAGCCAGGATGGTCTCGATCTCCTGACCTCGTGATCCGCCTGTCTTGGCCTCCCAAAGTGCTGGGATTACAGGCTTGAGCCACCGCGCCCGGCCTCCCCCTCTTTCAAATGGAATTCCTCCAGGACTGAGGGAGAGAATGTACAGGCACACCTTGCTCTATCATGCTTTGCTTTATTGTACTTCACAGATGCTGCATCTTTTACTCATTGAAGGTTTGTGGCAACCCGGCATTGGGCAAGTCTGTCGATGCCATTTTTAACAGCATGCGCTCACTTTGTGTCTCGGTGTCACAGTTTGGTGATTCTTACAACACTTCAAACTTTTTCGTTATTGTATCTGTTACAGTGATCTGTGATCAGTGATCTTTGATGTTACTATTGTCATTGTTTTGGGGTGCCATGAACCCCACCCACAAAGACAGTGAACTAAATCGATAAATGTTGTGTGTGCTCATTCTCTACCTGCTCCGTCAACCAGCATTCCCCATCTCTCTTTCTCTCTCTTCTGTGGCCTCCCTGTTGCCTAAGGCACAACAATATTGAAAGTGGGCCAATTAATCCTACAATGGTCTGTAAGTGTTCAAGTGAAAGGAAGAGTTACAGGTCTTTATCTTTAAATGAAAAACTAGAAATAATTAAGCTTAGTGAGGAAGGCAGGTCGAAAGCCCAGACAGGCCGAAAGCTAGGCCTCTTGCACTGGTTTGCCAAGTTGTGAATGCCAAGGAAAAGCTATTGAAGGAAATCAGAAGTGCTGTTCCAGTGAACACACATGGTAAGAAAGTGAAAAAGCCTTTGGAGAAGGTTTGAGAGGTCGGGATAGAAGATTCGACAAGCCATAACACTCCCTTAAGCCAAAGCCTAATCCAGACCAAGGCTCTGAATCTCCAATTCTGTGAAGGCTGAGAGAGGTGAGGAAGCTGCAGAAGAAAAGTTGGAAGCTAGCAGAGGTTGCTTCATGAGGTTTAAGGAAAGGTGCCATCTCCATCACATAAAAATGCAAGGTGAATCAACCAGGGCTGGTGTAGAAGCTGCCGCAGTTTATCCAGAAGATCCAGCTAAGATCATTGATGAAGGTGGCCACACTACCACAGATTTTCCATGTAGATGAAACAGTTTTGTATCAGAAAAAGATGTCATCTAGGACTTTCATAGCTAAGACGTCAATGCATGGCTTCAAAAGACAGGCTGACATGTTAGGGCTAATGCAGCTGGTGGCTTTAAGTTGAACCCAATCCTCATTTATCATTCCAAAAAAAACCTAGAACCTTGAAGAATTATGCTAAATCTATTCACTGTGTTCTACAGATGAAATAACAAAGCCTGGATGACAGCACATCTGTTTATAACGTGGTTTACTGAGTATTTTAAGCCAACTGTTGAGACCTACTGCTCAGAAAAAAGATTCCTTTCAAAATATTACTGCTCATTGACAAGGCAACGGGTCACCCAAGAGGGCTGATGACAGTGTACCAGGAGCTGCATGTTTTCATGCCTGCTAGCACAACATTTATTCTAGAGCCAAGGATCAAGGAGTACTTTCAAGTTTCAAGTCTTATTATTGAAGAAATCCATTTTGTAAGGCTATAGCTGCCATAGACAGTGATTCCTCTGATGGATCCGGGCAAAATACATTGAAAACCTCCAGAGAGCATTTAAGGAACATTTGTGATTCGTGGGAGGTGGTCAAAATATCCAAGCATTTGGAAGAAGTTGATTCCAACCTTCACGGATGACTCTGAGGGCTTCAGGACTTCAGTGGAGAAGTCACTGCAGATGCGTTGGAACCTGCAAAAGAACTAGAGTTAGCAGCAGAGCTTGAGAATGAGACTGAATTGTGGCAATCTCATGATCAAACTTGAGTGGATGAGGAGTTGTTTTGTATGGGTGGGCAAAGAAAGTGACTTTTTTTGGTTTTTGTTTTTTTTCTTTCTTTCTTTTTCTTTTTCTTTCTTTCTTTTTTTTTTTTTTTTTGAGACAGAGCCCTGTTCCATCGCCCAGACTGGAGTACAGTGGAGCGAGCTTGGCTCACTGCAGCCTCCGCCTCCTAGGTTCAAAGGATTCTCCTGCCTCAGCCTCCCAAGTCGCTGGGACTACTGGGACCTGCCTCACACCCAGCTAACTTTTGTGTTTTTAGTAGAGATAGGGTTTCGCCATGTTGGCCACGCTGGTCTCAAACTCCTGACCTCAGGTGATCCGCCCACCTCGGCCTCCCAAAGTGCTGGGAGGACAGGCATGAGCCACTGTGCCCATCCTAAAGTGGCTTCTTGAGGTGGAATCTACTCCTGGCGGAGATGCTGTGAACATTGTCAAAATGATAACAAGGGATTAAGAATGTTACAGAAACTTCTTAGCTGATAAAGCAGCAGCAGGGTTTGAGAGGATGCACATCAGTTTTGAAAGAAGTTTTGCTGTGGATAAAATGCCGTCAAAAACAGCATCACATGCATGTCATGGAAAAATCTTTCACGAAAGGAAGAGTTGCCAGGCACAGTGGCTCACGCCTGTAATCCCAGCACTTTGGGAGGCCGAGGCGGACGGATCATGAGGTCAGGAGTTAGAGACCAGCCTGGCCAATATGGTGAAACCCCGTCTCTACTAAAAATACAAAAATTAGCCGGGTGTGGTGGCGGGTGCCTGTAGTTCCAGCTACTCAGGAGGCTGAGGCAGAAGAATCATTTGAACCCGGGAGGCAGAGATTGCAGTGAGCCAAGATCACACGACTGTACTCCAGCCTAGGCGACAGAGCGAGATTCTGTCTCAAAAAAAAAAAAGGAAGAGTTAATGGATGTGGCAAACTTCATTGTTGTCTTCTTTTAAGAAATTGCCACAGTCACCCCAGCCCGAGAAACCACCACCCTGAGATCATTCAGCAGCCATCAACATGGAGGCAAGACATAAGAACACCTACCAAAGCAGGACCACTTTGGGCCACCCTCTTGGGCTAGCTTCTGACACAACTGTCTCCAGAAATCCTGGGTACTAAAGTGACCCACCGGACTGATGCCGTTCCAGCCAAGTCCTCTGTGAATCTGTGCCTCAGTCTTCCCTGCTGTGAAATGGGAGAGGAAGATCCTAGCGTTCTTTGCTAGCCAAGGATTCTGCCCCATGCCTCTGAGTACCACTGGCCCCTGGCTTATGCTGGTTTGGGTTTCTTGTTCCCGAGGAGATTCTTTTTCTGTCTGGGATGGAAGGGAAATCTCACAGGTTCCTAACAAAAAGGATGTCCTGGGAGGGAGTGAACCAATTCATACTTGATTAACAAAAGGACAAAGGACAGAAAGTAAAGGTTGTCAGAAGCTGTGGGTTCCTGGTCTGGTGTCTGCTGCCAGCCTGCATTGTGGCCCGAGGCAGTTTCCAATGGTTGCGTTTTTGCAGCCATCAGCACATGGTGGTTCTTAGTAAAATACAGCCCACGGCGTCTCCTGCACACGACGCAGGGTTGTCGTGAGCCTTGCTCATTCCAGCTTGGCACCTGCTGTGTGGGGTATGGGCAGCCTCACCGAGCTACCAGGGAGCCCCAGGAGCCACCGGCAGTTCAGCCAGGATGGCTGTGAGTAGCTACGGGCGACGCAGGAGCTGCCCATGGCCAGGGGCCGGAGGAGGCCACCCAGAGGAAGGCACTTGTCACAGAGGCCTGAGGGGTCACCAGGACCCTTGCAGGCGAGGGGAGCATGTGACCTAATTAGGGCAGTTAGAGCTCTGCAGATGCTCGGGAAGGTCGGATGTTCCCGAATATTCCCAGGGGAACTACTACCCAGGGACCCCATGTGTTGCTTTGGGGCCACAGCCATGGGATCCTTTAGCTCTCCAGTGACACTGAGCTGCTTCTCCATTCTGTGTCTCAGCATGGGGCAGATTTTGGAGACAGGATTTCCCCAAGCGCCATAGCCCAACCCCGGCCTCCTGTGACTTGACCTCAAGGTGGTTTTGCGTTTCCTTCAAAGATGTGGGGAGATAGCTGGAGCAGAGGAAAGAAAAAGGGCAGGTGTGGAGCAGATGCAGTGGGTTGTGGGCGAGTGGAGAGGAGGGTGTGTGTGTGTGTGTGTGTGTGTGTGTGTGTGTAGCCTGTGTGCAGCCAGGGATACACCCCTTCCCCCTGGCCAACTCTTTTTTTTTTTTAATGATAGAGACGGGGTCTCACTATGTTGGCCAGACAGGTCTCGAACTCCTGACATCAGGTGATCGCCTGCCTGGGCCTCCCAAAGTGCTGGGATCACAGGAGTGAGATCACAGTCACCGGCGCCCTCTGACAACTCTGATTGGGGATGGGGAGACTGCTCCTGTTCCTCCTGCTTGCATCTCAGGTGCTCTCTCCCCACCCCTTCCTCCTTTCCTCTCTCCTTGCAGCAGCTCCTGTCAAAGGGAACAGGAAGCAGTCCGCAGAGGGTGACACCCTAGATCCACCTGCATCCCCCAAACCTGTTGGCGAGCAGAACGGGAGCCAGAACCCCATCCCACTGGAGGTGAGTTGAATCCCTCTGCTGACCCCCTGGGCGCTCTTCCCTGCCACCCTCACCTGTGTTCAGCCTCCAGGTGAACCTGGACACTCCCCAAGCTCTCAGGAGGCAGATTTGTATGTTCCTACCCTGGCCCTGTCCAGCAGCCAGGGGACTGACTTGTCTTCTGTGCCGGAGAGTTATTGAAATCAAGATTGACTTGGTTTTTGTAGCAGACCCCTTTTTTCAAGTGAAGATGGCCCACCACCCTGATCCATAAAACAGACAAAAGCTCCAGCCCGTGATGCAAAACCACATTCATATCCATTCATCCAGATGCATAACATGGGCATATAAAGTCACTCGGTGAGACCAACAGGGCTGTTGCGATGAGCAGAGTCTGAAGGGGGCGCTGTGGGCAGCTTTTTCGGAGCACAGTTGGCCCCAGCTTTCATTCATTTTGGCCGTTTGCTTTGGTGGCACAGTCTGGAAAAGTATCCTGATTCATGCAGAAAAGTGTTTGCAAATGGTAGTCGTCTTTAGCAGCTTGCTGGGAATTCAGAGTAGAGGCCTGGAGGAGCAGATTGACTTGAGCAGCTATGAGAGAGCCTTCCTTCTGAGGTCTGCACAGACCAGCCCCAGGGCCCCGGCATGTTACGATTTCATGGGTGATATGTGAGTTCGTATGTTGTTTCTTCTCAGAGGTCTTTAATACCTTAAAAACACTGAACTATTACAGAAGCTATTTACAACTAACAAAACAAGTAAAAACACTGAAATAAACCTGAATCAATTTTTTTTTTTTTTTTTTTTTAAGGCAGAGTCTCACTGTTACTCAGGCTGGAGGGCAGTAGCACAATCTTGGCTCACTTAAACCTCCACCTCCTGGGTTCAAATGATTCTTCTGCCTCAGCCTCCCGAGTAGCTGGGATTACAGGCGTGCACTACCAGGCGTGGCTAATTTTTGTATTTTTAGCAGAGATGGGATTTCCCCATGTTGGCCAGGCTGGTCTCGAACTCCTGACCTCGGGTGATCTGCCCACCTCGGCTTCCCAAAGTGCTAGGATTACAGGCGTGAGCCACCATGCCCAGCTGGATCAAATATTTTGGGAACACATGGCTGTCTGCGCTGTCCTAGTCTAGATGGTTTATGTCCTGGAAGCTGTCTGTTCTCTGACCAGGGTGTAGGCCCCGGGCTCTCTGCCCTGAGCCACTTGCTGGATGAAGGCATCAGCGGAGATTGCCCCTCTGGGACCCGCAACCAAAAGTCCTGTGCCCCTGGCAGCAGCGTGCAGTTGAAGCCCAGAGCTTCACCTCCCTGTGCTCAGCACGGCAGGCTGGGGCCACACACAGGTTCGGGGAACGTGGGCCTGACAGAGCAACCCCACAGCACCAGAAAGCACCAGGCACCTTTGTTCCTTCAGCTTTTCCCTCGGCATTGGGGGTGGGGGGGAGGGTGGCAGGGAGTCCCAGGGACACTGAGCCTGCCCTCCAGGAGCTCCTAGTCTGGCAGAGGAGCTGATACAACTATGACAAATCAAGAACAAGACAGAGAAGTGACCCTGGCCTGGAGAAGGCCGGGGACTGCTCTTGTGGCCACCTCTGGAGCCAGCTGCTCTGGGGTGCCCAGCCTCTCGGGGGGTCCTGAGCTCTAGCCCCTGCCCTGGGGCACTGAGGGCTGACACCTGTGCCAGCCGAACCCACGAACAGTCACTCCCTCCCAGAACAGTGGCCAGGTGCTCTCTGGGAAACTGGGGTTGGGGGCAGGTACCTTGTTCCTCCTGCAGCCAGTGGTTTCTACACGTCCCCAGCAGCCAGCCACCAACTGGGGCCCATCCCAATGCCTCCTGTTCTCTCCCCAGGACTCCCCCGAGGCAGGCGGGGAGCGGGAGGAGGAGCAGGAGCGGGAGGAGGAGCAGGCCTTCCTGGTCAGCCTCTACAAGTTCATGAAGGAGCGACACACGCCCATCGAGAGGGTGCCCCATCTCGGCTTCAAGCAGAGTGCGTCCCTGGGGTGCAGGCAGGGAGGGGGGCCCAGCAGGGAACCCCGCCCAGGCAGGGCATCGGGCAGGCACTCCCACTCTGGGTGACCCAGGTTGCAGATAGAAAGGAGGCCTCCCTCCAGGCTGCCACCGGGCCAGCGGTGCACAGGCTACAGCCTGCCCATCTACTGCAGTGGCCCTGGCTGGGTGTGTGCTGCTCTGTGCCCGAGTGTCAGGGCACTAGGAAGGGGTGGCTGCCCCACCTCCCACAGAGGCTGACGGCCAGCCTGCCCCTCTCTCCCCAGTTAACCTGTGGAAGATCTACAAGGCAGTGGAGAAGCTGGGGGCCTATGAGCTGGTAAGAAAGGCACCCCCAGTCCTTGCCAGACTGCATCTCCCTGGGGTGAGCCTGCAGCCCTGGCCTTGCCTCTGGACAGAAGAGCCAGGATCCCCAGTCCTGCCCCTTCCTCCCCACCTCCCCCGCTGGTTCTCTGCTGCTCAAAGCAGCTTTTCAGCCTTCCCCATCTGTTCTGCCCGCCCCGTGTTGGAAAAACTGCTTGGGCCAGCAGTCCGTGGCCCTGGGAGGGAGAATCGGCCGCTGTCGGAGCCGCAGAGCAGCTGCCAAACCGCAGTGCTTCGGTGCCTGCGAGGGCGGCCAGAGCCGCAAGGACCCCGCCGCCAGGGGGCGCTCGCGGCCGCGCCCACACCAGGTGCCCTTGCAGGTGACCGGGCGCCGCCTCTGGAAGAACGTGTACGACGAGCTGGGGGGCAGCCCGGGCAGCACCAGCGCGGCCACGTGCACGCGCCGCCACTACGAGAGGTACGTCGCCTGCCCTGCGGGGCCTCGGCCAACCTTGCTGGGAGGGCTGGGTGGACTCTGCCCGGAGCGGGCGGGGTGGGCACCATCCTCAGCGTTGCGGGGGCCCAGGCTGGCTGGGCACAGCCACTGAGGGAGCTGAAGCTTTGGGGCGAGGAGGAGAGGGTCTTCCTCGGCGCCGGCCTCCTGGGGGACATGCCCGGTTCCTCCCCAGGCTGGTCCTGCCATATGTGCGGCACCTGAAGGGGGAGGATGACAAGCCGCTGCCCACCTCCAAGCCCAGGAAACAGTACAAGATGGCCAAGGAGAACAGGGGGGATGATGGGGCCACCGAGAGGCCAAAGAAGGCCAAGGAGGAGCGGCGCATGGACCAGGTAGGCCTGTGGCTGGCTGGGGCCACCCTGTCCCCTGCCTCTTGTAGCCCCCCCACCCCACAACTCCCTGTGGCCACAGAGCTGTCTGCTCAGAACACACAGAACATGCACCCAGGGCGGGACTTGCAAGGTTCCAGGTTCTCCACAGTGCGCAAGTTCTCTACTTGTGCAAGTAGACTGAACTCCAGCCTGCACCCCCCACCACCAGGCCCTGTGTCCCGACCTGAGGCTGTCTGCTCTGAGGACAGGGCTTCTTTGGAAAATTCTGCACAAAGGACTGCAAGGGCTAGCGGGGGACCTGGGCAGGCCTGAAAGTGCCGCCTCCTGCTCCTGAGGTCAGGATGCATGGCTCAGGCAGCCCTGAGGCATGGCTTTCTCTCATTCCAGATGCCAGGAAAGACCAAAGCAGATGTTGCTGACCCAGCACCACTTCTTAGCCAGGAGCCCCCCAGGAACAGTACAGAACAGCAGGGCCTGGCCTCTGGGTCTTCTGTGTCCTTTGTGGGTGCCAGCGGCTGCCCTGAGGCCTACAAGCGGCTCCTATCCAGCTTCTACTGCAAGGGGACACACGGCATCATGTCACCACTGGCCAAAAAGAAGCTCCTGGCCCAGGTGAGCAAGGTGGAGGCCTTGCAGTGCCAGGAGGAGGGTTGTCGCCATGGGGCAGAGCCCCAGGCGTCCCCAGCTGTTGGCCTCCCAGGGAGTCCCCAGAGCTCCAAAGGGCTGACTGAGAACTCCAGGCACCGGCTGACCCCTCAGGAGGGACTGCAGTCCCCGGGGGGCAGCCTCAGGGAGGAGGCGCAGGCGGGCCCCTGCCTGCCAGCCCCCATCTTCACGGGCTGCTTCCACACCCGCCCCACCGAGGTGCTGAAGCCTGTCAGCCAGCACCCCAGGGACTTCTTCTCCAGACTTAAAGATGGGGTGCTATTGGGGCCTCCTGGCAAAGAGGGGCTGTCAGTGAAAGAGCCCCAGCTGGTATGGGGCGGGGACGCCAACCGCCCTTCTGCATTCCACAAAGGCGGCTCCAGAAAGGGCGTTCTCTACCCCAAGCCCAAAGCCTGCTGGGTGTCCCCCATGGCCAAGGTCCCAGCCGAGAGCCCCACACTCCCGCCCACCTTCCCCGGTAGCACAGGCCTGGGCAGCAAGCGCAGCCTGGAGGAAGAGGGTGCTGCCCACAGTGGGAAGAGACTGCGGGCCGTGTCTCCCTTTCTTAAGGAGGCAGATGCCAAGAAATGTGGGGCCAAACCTGCAGGGTCTGGCCTGGTCTCCTGCCTTCTGGGCCCAGCCCTGGGGCCTGTGCCCCCAGAGGCTTACAGGGGCACCATGCTGCACTGCCCGCTGAACTTCACTGGCACCCCAGGCCCCTTGAAGGGCCAGGCTGCACTCCCCTTCAGCCCCCTGGTCATCCCAGCCTTCCCGGCCCACTTTCTGGCCACTGCGGGCCCCTCACCCATGGCCGCTGGCCTGATGCACTTCCCGCCCACGTCCTTCGACAGTGCTCTCCGCCACAGACTTTGCCCGGCCTCCTCTGCCTGGCACGCACCACCAGTCACAACCTATGCAGCGCCCCACTTCTTCCACCTCAACACCAAGCTGTAGGCAGCCCATGGTGTTGCGTACACTGTGGAGTCGACCGGGGCCAACAGCGGGCAGGTGCTGCTGCTAGGGGGGGTCTGGACTCGTGTCTGTTACCCAGGACACCCAGGCCATGCCCCTGGCTGGGCAGCCTGGCACAAGTGAAGAAGGAGGTGGTGGGAAAACTGGGTTTATCTCAAGGCAGCAGGCTGAACCCAGGAGCAGAGGACCCAGTTGTTACAAGGCCCTGGGAGAGGGTGGGCAGCTCCCACTGCCCCAGAGCAGCGCTCAGAGCACCCAGGTTGCCCACGGAAAATCCAATAAAAAGAAACGAATGGGAATCCACATAGCCCTGAGGTGTGCATGGTATGGGCCTTTGTAACAGCAGGCAAGGTGGGGGTGAGCTCGTGGGTGGGGCTGCCATTAGGGGGCCAAGGAGATGCACCTGAACGCCACCACCCCTTGAGAGTGGGCCTAAAGCAAACCCCAGCCTCTGCCCATGTGTAGGCAGCCTCTGACATCCATCCTTGCCTTCGGTCTGGCTTCCTAGTTGAGCCTTGGGAACACGTCGCCTTTCTCATTGTGGAGATGGGGATTGGAGACCCTGGGAGGGTCGGTGACTTGCCCAGGTTCCCCTGGCAGGAGGGGCAGAGGAGGGCTGTGCGGGCCGTGTGACTCCTGTGCTCTGAGCAGGACCCCAGGCTGTTACCAGTGTCCCCCGGGGTTTGGGGGTGTGACCAGGACGCCCGAGTTGGTCTGCCTTGGTGATGGATGTAGATTATCTGGGGCCTGTAGCCGAGCCCTTTCTGCAGCACCATCCCCCTTGCCTGACCCACATGGACGGTCCAGAGTGACCACTGGATTGAAATCACAGGAGGTGCCTGGAGGGAAAGGGGAGCAAATGGCCTGGTCCCGGCCTGGGTGTCTGCGTCGGTAACAAGCCCCTGCGGTTTCAGATGTGGTTGCCCCGGGGCTCATCTAGAACCCCTGTGGCCTGACGCTTGTTTGCTGCAGGCCTGATGGGAGCAGGGCCTTGGCTCAGGAGGAGGGAGGGTGGGTTCTTTTCAGAGGCACTGTCCCCTCCCTCCACAAGCAGCCTGCACCCAAGCAGTTTCACATGTAGTCCTGGAAAAGTGGGGCTACTGCTGGCTGAGCAGAGGGTAGATGTCGGGGCATCAGGTGTGAGGTCAGCGGGCGACACGCACCACTGGAACTTGCCGTGCCCGCTGGACCTGGGATGCTGGGATGCTGATGATCTCCGGCCGTGGGAGGGGCCCCCAGAGTTTGCAGGTAGGGAGGCTGAGGCCAGGGATGGGCAGGGTCTTGCTTGCCCAAGGCCACCATTCACAATGACAGAACCCAGGCCAGGGAACGTGCAGCATGCTTGGCACCAGGGAGTGGGCTGCCAGGCCAAAAGTGCACCCTATCCAGCCCCTGCCCCTGGCCGCCACCTTCAGGAGCAGCCTGGGGAGGGCTCAGGCACCTTCCAAGCAAGGCCTGTGACTGGTGGAGGGGCAAAGGGTGGTGGTCCCTGCTGTTGAGAGCACTCAGGTTCTGCAGGGGCATCTCCCAAACTTCCACCTCCTTCCTTCTGAGAGGTGCCAAGATGCCAGCCTAAGCACCTGCAGTGACCTGCCCTGGGCTCACACTGCCACATGCAGTCGTCCTCTCTGAGCTGCAGAGGCTCAGTGGATGATAAAGGATGGGAAGGGGCCGGGTGCGGTGGCTCAAGCCTGTAATCCCAGCACTTTGGGAGGCCAAGGCGGGCGGATCACCTGAGGTCAGGAGTTCGTGAACAGCCTGGCCAACATGGTGAAACTCTGTCTCTACAAAAAATACAAAAATTAGCGGGGCACGGTAGCGGGCGCCTGTAATCCCAGCTACTTGGGAGGCTGAGGCGGGAGAATCACTTGAACTCGGGAGGTGGAGGTTGCAGTGAGCCCAGACTGCGCCACTGTACTCCACCTTAGGCAACGAGCAAAACTAAAAAAAAAAAGGGTGGGGGGGGGGGGGGGCCTGAGTTCTGCCCACCCTCAGGCCCTGGGTGCTGGGCCACAGACCACTGGGGTCAGATCCCCTGGATAAAAGGGGCAGGGTCCCTTCATCTGCAAAGCAACACTGGCCTGGCCGTGGCACAAAGATGGGCAGGACTTGAGCGCAAGCGGCTCAGCGCTGTGATCACGGCGCCCTCTGGAGGCCCATCTGGAGAATGCACCTCCCGTGGGGCGTCTGTCCGGGCAGGTGGGCACCCTGGGCAGGAGGCAGGGGACCCTGTTTTGGCACAGATGCTAGAGCCCGATGTAGTCATGCTTCCAGGACACCCTCTGGGCCCAGTGCCCCACAGCCTGGTACTAACTGTACCCGATTCTCGGAGGGCAGCGTCCCGGCTCACAGCCGGCCTAAATGGTGCGTTCCCGTCAGTGCCTCTGATTCCTCAGTGAGCAGAGACTGAGGACAGGTACCAGGGCTGGAGACCTGAGGTTGGGGGGAGGAGGGGACGAGAATGAGTGATCTCAGATGGGAGCACCCCCATGCCAGGGCAGTGCCCTGGGGCCTCTGGGAAGCACCAGGTTCCACCTGAGGTTGGTGGCACGCGTTTTGCGTTTCGGCGGGACCAGGCCACCAGCTGTGTGCCGGGAGAGTCTGGTGCAGCAGAGCAGAACAACGGAGCTGAGGCGAGTGCAGGGAGCCAGGCCAGTGGAGGGCCTGGAGTCGAAGCTGGGTGCGGGGAGCCAAGGACGGGTGGCGGGACTGATGGACCACAGTGGGGCTCCAAGAACCACGGGACTGAAGGAGGTGGGCTGGGAATAAGAGGGCTGGCTGACGTCCCCCGTACCTGGGTGCACTCGTGAGAGTGAGTGGAGGAGAGCGGGCCAAGGAACGAAGGGGCCAGGGTGTGGGAAGCCTTGGAGTCACCGCCTTTGGGCCAAGGTCAGGCAAGAAGTGGGGAGGAGGGGCTCGGGGTCCACAGCAAGGCCACGATGCAGGGGCAGCAACATGGGCTGGCAGCAACCCACTTCAGGACAGCGTGGAGAAGCAATCTTCACTGGAGAGAGCTCTGGGAGTGGTCTCTGGGTGGGCAGAGCCACGGGCTGGCAGGGGAGGAAGCAGAGGGGCAGCTGGGAGTCCAGACAGGGAAGTCAGAGACCTCCACCCCTCAAAACCAGAGGGTGGGCCAGGTGCGATGGCTCATGCCTGTAATCCTAGAACTTCGGGAGGCCAAGGCAGGCAGATCACCTGAGGTCAGGAATTCAACACCAGTCTGGCTAACATGGTGAAACCCCATCTCAACTAAAAATACAAACATCAGCCGGGCGTGATGGCACGCACCTGTAGTTCCTGCTACTAGGGAGGCTGAGGCAGAAGAATCACTTGAACCCAGGAGGCAGAGTTTTCAGTGAGCTGAGATTGTGCCACTGCACTCCAGCCTGGCGACAAGAGTGAAACTCTGTCTCAAAAAAAAACAGAGGCTGCTGACAGTGCCCTGAGACGTGGTTAAATTTTTTTTTTTAAGAGATGGGGGTCTTGCAGTGTCACCCAGGCTGGAGTGGTGCTGTGGCTATTCACAGGCAAGGCCATCATGCATTGCGGCACCCAAACTCCTGGGCTCAAGCAGTCCTCCCGCCTCAGCCTCCCAGGCAGCTGGGACTGCAGGTGCATGTCACGGCAGCCAGCTAAATGTTTTCAAATAACTGCCAGAATTTAAAAATCAGATTTCACATAAAAAATGTGGATATCAGGCTTCTCTTTAAAAACCAGAATTTCTGGCCAGGCGCTATGTCTCATGCCTGTAATCCCAGCACTTTGGGAGGCCAAGGCGGGCGGATCACCTGAGCAGGAGTCAAGACCAGCCTGGCCAACATGGTGAAACCCTGTCTCTACTAAAAACACAAAAATTAGCTGGTCGTGGTGGCGGGCGCCTGTAATCCCAGCTACTCGGGAGGCTGAGGCAGAATCGCTTAAACCTGGGAGGCGGAGGTTGCAGTGAGCCGAGATTGTGCCACTGCACTCCAGCCTGGGTGACAGAGTGAGACTCCATCTCAAAAAAAAAAAAAATTCTGGCCACATGGGAGCACTTCCTGGAGGTGAGCAGTTGCTGCTGCCTTTTGGACAGGGTGACCCACCCGTTCACCACAGTGGCCCCAGCCCCCAACTCCACAGACCCGAGGGACCCAGCCCTTTGCCCCCTGCCCCAGGCACCCCTGTTCAAGCCAGACTCCTGTTGCTGCTCAGACAATAGGTGGCAGCTTTTGAGTCTCCTTCCCATGTTGGAGGTTCTTGGCTTCACGCCTAGAGTTCCCACCACCTGCTGGGCCTTGTCATCCAGCGCTCAGCGGTCAGCAGATAGAGAGGGAAGCTCAAAGAGCTGAAGCCAGAACACAGGCCCTGAGTCCTGCCTCCTCCCTGGGTTCAGTGTGCCTGTAAAGGTTCTCAGGCCCCTTACTGGCAAGCAACAGAAACAAACCCCGACCCAGGTAGGAGGGAGCCTGAGTGACTGAGAACTGCAGGAAGAAGAGAACCCCCCGGTCACCAGGGGTGGGGACAGCACCCCTGCACTCCTTCTCTGGCACTGCCATGGGTGAGCTGGAGCCGGCTCCTCCTGGCCCAGAGAGCGCACTGCAGGCATCTCTTCCCAGCTCTCGGTTGATGCCTACTGGGAGCTTGAACTAGGCAAGGCAGGAGTATCTACAACCCCCAGAAATCAGCACATGCTGGCTGAGTGCGGTGGCTCACATCTGTAATCCCAGCACTTTGGGAGGCCGAGGCGGGCAGATCACCTGAGGTCAGGAGTCAAGACCAGCCTGGCCAACACGGTGAAACTCCGTCTCCACTAAAAATACAAGAATTAACCAGAAGGGTGGCAGGCACCTGTAATCCCAGCTACCTGGAAGGCTGAGGCAGGAGAATCGCTTGAACCTGGGAGGCGGAGGTTGCAGTGAGCCGAGATCATGCCATGCACTCCAGCCTGGGCCTCAGAGCGAGACTCTGTCAAAAAAAAAAAAAAAAGAAATCAGCACGTGCTACACATCAGGGCTCCCCCTGCCCCCAGCCAGGGGTCAGTCACCTAGCAGCACGCACTGCCGACTCAGCTCCAACTGCCTTCTCTCCCTGGGGTCCCGCTTCAGGATACACTGTGAGGGGAGACTCATCTGAGGCCTCTGCTTACCCGGTAACCTCTGAGGCTGTTGCCTCAGAGGAAGCGTGTCTTCCAGGTAGACCAAGACAGTAGCTGCCGTGCTGGGTGACGCCAGGTGCGTACCCTTCTCTGGGCCTCCGTTCCTTCATCTGTGATATGGAAATTAGTCACTCCTACCTCAAGAGTGGGGGGCATTTAGTGAAAGTGC